GGTAGCTGGGGTGAATAGCGGGCGAGCTTGTCAAAATCCCGCCAGCTTCGCAGGCTATTGTCACACTCCTCTGGCTTCAAACAAAGAAAGGAGTCCTGGAATCACTAACATGACCATAGCCGCACCTCCCATCCATGGCACTTTCTTAGCAAGCTCGCACCGGTACCTGTACCAAATTTTGATAACCGTGTTTTCCAACAAAGTGAGTAAACATAATTTTCAAGCCTAGCATATATTGACCAATAAAGTTTTATTCGTCGTTCACTGAATAAAAACCAGGATAAACTATTTCCTAGTATTTTGGAACAAGTGTTACTGATATGCTCCTTCAGATTTAGATTGCCGTCAAACCAAGTTCCGAGACAGGGTTTACTCTTGTATCACCGATCGTAAGGTGATGAATATTGACTTCTCCAACAGCTGTCTAGTTACGACTATCATAAATTCAGTTTCACCATCGTTGATCTTGAGTTTGTCCATAATCATCCACGATCGTATATCCCTAATACAGCGTTCCATTGCGTCTAATGCAGCAGCTTGGCTCATTATGTTGTCGGGCTCGAAAGACAGGTATAGCTGGGCATCGTCCCCATAAGCATGAACAGCCGGCAGGTGATTTTTATAACTTGGAAGAGCTTGCTGGCATAAATGGTGGATAACAACGGCCCTAAACAGGAGTCTTGCGGAACCCCTTGCGGCAAAGAAAAACTGTTCGAAACAGAACCACTAAGAGGGGGTCTAAGAGCAATGCGCTGGGATCTGTTCGTCAAATAGGACAAGAACCACTCAGCATGGTACCTGTCATCCCATAACATGACAACCGCTCAGTTAAGATCTTAAGCAGGGTGACATGTTTCTTATCCATTCGGAGAATGTCACTCTGTAAAGCGGCCTCTGTACTAAAACCGACTGCAAAAGTGCATTAAGGCCAAACTTGGTCATGTGTTTGTGTGTTTGATCAAACACAGCCCGCTCAGTCAACTTCGACACAAACTGAAGATTGCTGACAGGACGTAGGTTACAGAATTCAGCACTCAAACCAGCGCTCTTTAGCAAAGGATTGACCAGTGCTCCCTTCCATTCGTCCGAGAACTGACCAGATGCAAGTGACAGGTTGATGATACTGGTAATTACAGCAGCACATCCAGGCACTTGACCACTAATGGTGTCGGCATCGGGTCAAGCGGGCAAGACTTCTTGTTTGATTTCTGAACGAGTCAGCTTGCACATCTTCTAACCAGCATAAGATCATCTGGGAGTGCGTCACGGGAGGTATGATCGACGTCAAAAGCGTCAATGTCACAACGAAAAAGTCTTACGAAAAATCTGCCGATATCATTGGCTAGGGCCACCCTATCATCGTAGTCCGGAGAGGATAACTCATTTGTCTTACAAAGGAGTTTTGAATTTGGTCGCCCTGAATAATCGACCCTGATCAGCACTGTTCTTGGTGATTAATTTGGAAAAGAACTCCCGTCGGGCCATATTCATGATTTACGTCACATAGTTCCTTTTCTTTTTCAAGTCACTAAAGCAGGGGGGGGTGGGGGGCGGTGGGGGGCTGGCAACGGCCTTTGATTGGTCCATTTAGGCTGCAAAACAGTCGGGTTTAAAATTTTCTCAAAATCGGTTTAGCGTAGCTTCAGAGCTACACGCGCGAAGCGCGCGACCCTGACAAGTGCTTGTTTGACTGCTCGCACGTACTTGAATATGCAAAAACACGCACGAACTACCGCACGAACTGGTCACGCATTCCGCAACCGATATGTTTGGTGAATTAGTTTCTTTTTTGTTTTCTCTTCAAAGCTTTCTTTTGGTGATTATTCTTATTGTAACACTCTATGCCATTTCTTGCCTTCTGTTCCCTGATGTTCCTGTTTCTGACTTGGAGAAAAAAGCCGTTCTTATCACTGGATGCGACAGTGGTTTTGGTTACGAGCTCGCAAAGAAGCTCGATTCTCGAGGTTTGCAGGTTTTTGCTGGATGTCTCACTTCAGATGGACAAGCTAAGCTGAGAAGTGAGTGTTCTACACGGATGACCACGTTAGAACTGGATGTTGTGAATCAAAGCGATATACAGAAGGCTTTAGAAGTTGTCCAATCACTTCTATCCTTGAGCGGTACAAACGGTACGTGTCATAATTTTCATTTACCCCCCTTCAACAGAACAAAACAGCTTCTAACGGAACTATAGAGACAATGGATCTGTCAGTTATTTCAGAATAGTGCAGTCCGACTCAGCAGTGATCATGAAGCTTTGCGTGACCTCTTTATTTGTGGGGGTTCTGGAAACAAATATTTTGCCCCCCTGGGAACAAAGTTGTCTCTGGAAGATTGAGCAAATCTTCGCGAATCCACGCAGCAAATATAAGGTGAACAGAACAGTGTTAATTCCTCGAAAATCGCAACCTGATTTGTTGCAAGAAAGGTTTGATTCGTGGGAGTAAAACGTGTAACATTGTTATTTAACTCGTTTTGCAGAAATTTTGCAAAACAAGTTGAGTGTTTTTGATGCTAGTTTTAGCGTATCATAGTCATATTAGACCTCTTTCGCATCATATTTTCTTATCTTTGGACAAGTGAATGTGAATGGTGAGAAAAGGTACGCGCAGAGTCATTTGAAAGATCACGAAACATTGCAAATTCACAGATATTCCACAGACGTGACGTGAAAATGGCTGGGTTAACATTGCCATATTTGGATTGGAAATACTTTAGGTTTGAAAATTTGGATGTACCTGTTTCACACGACTGGCCGTGCATGGAAACGGCACTTGACCTATGCCAAGAAAGTAAAACTCTAAAAGAACACTATTTGCTCCCTAAAAATTGTACTGGCCCCCTTTCTAAGCCTTTAAAAATTGTGTAGGCTAACTCAACCCTCGAGTTACATCAAGGTAAGCTTTCTCTGGTGTCATCCATTTTTTCCCCTAATTTCTTGGCATAAGTAATATTGGGCTTATAACTCCATGTGAGAATTTTGTTTTTGTTCTGAGGCTGTTTGCCAGAATTTTTGACTGAAATGACCCCCCTCCCCCACCCCCCGCCCCATCCTCAGGAGTCTAATGATGGGCTTAACAGCACAGGACATGGCACTCACCATGCCCTATGGGTCATCTGTCCACCATTTTGTCTTGATATAACTCATTTTTTTCGGCTGTTCCACACAGACAGCCTGATAATGATGACTAAATGAATGATTTCTTTCAGGTTTATGGGCTGTAGTAAATAATGCTGGGATTGCAATGCTAGGCCCTTTTGAATGGCAGACCATAGAAGAAATGAGGAGAACGGTTGATGTTAATCTCTGGGGAATGGTGTTGGTAACTAAGACCTTTCTACCTTTACTCAAAAGAACGAAGGGCCGTGTTATTAATGTTGCCAGTACATCTGGAAGAGTTGCTAGCCCTGGTGCCATGGCATATTCCATTTCTAAGTATGGTGTGGAAGCTTTCTCAGATTGTTTGCGTAATGAAATGAAGCACTTTGGAGTTACAGTTCACATTATTGAACCAGGAAACTTTAAAACAAACATCTCAAGTGTTGAGAAAAACTGCCAGCAGTTAGAAAGGTTGTGGGCAAAACTTGATATAGAGACAAAGGAAAGTTATGGTAAAGGATATTATGACCAAGGTATAGTGACAATGCTATTTAAACTGGTAATCTTAGTTGATATCCATATTGAAAAGAACTCACACTTGATAGAGTTGATCCCCTCTTCTCCATGGGTATATTCTCCCACAATACTCAGTGTGAGACATAACCATGAAGGACTATGGCTTATCTTATGCACCTTAAAGTGCAAGTTAAACTGAAGAAATCAGAGTGGCTGAGTGTGGTGAACAAAATAATAATTATTAGAATTAATTTCACACAATTATTCCCAGCCACTCAGCTCCATTCATTTGCCTATCTTCAGGGAATCAGAATAATTTTCCATGGAATCAGAAGTTTTGTACCTATGAGGGCCAACTAAATGCCCCCATCATTCGGTGCAAAGTAAAGCTGAAAACTGAGTTACCGGTAACTAAGGTTCATATCCATGCTAGTAGTGTGAAGATATTATTATAAGAAATTCACCATTTTTCTATCCTGTACTTTCAGCCATCACTTTCATTTCCACCATGTTACCATTGCTTGGATCCACGAAAATCTACAAAGTGGTTAATGTTATGGAGCATGCTATCACATCTACTCGGCCAAAATTATGGTACATGATAGGATGGGATGCCAATCTACTTTGGAGGACTGCTTCTTTTCTACCATCAGAGATGCAAGATTTAGTTTATTTTTCTTTTCCAAAACCCCAAGGAATTTCAGATTGCAAGGATGAAAGAGAAAGTAAGATGTAAGAAACATGGAAGTCTTGACATTATTTGACAAAGAGTGACTGCGATACAACCATGACAAAACCCTTAAAGACATTAGAGCAGCAATGCTTGTAGAGCTAATGGACATTTTTCTTGATTATGTATCATGAGGTCATCACTTTTCCATGGATCTGTATAATAACAATTGTACTGGAATAATGGTAATGGATCATAAATGTAATTAAAACTAATTATTGTTTTAATCCTCATTTTCATAATGAGGTATGGGTAGTTGTGCTCTGGGTAGTGGCTATAGATGATGATGATGATGATTAAGACAATAGCCGATCAATAAACTTATGTTTACACAGAGAGAGAAGAAATACATTGTTGTTGAAAGTGATGAGAAACATCTATTTCTGCATCTTCCTAAAGAGATTGAAAGAAAAGAATTATTTCGAAGATCAAGAATTTTCACACAGGAGGTAAAGTAAAGTAAAGTGTTTCAGGTATTTTTTTAAATAAAATAATACCACATTTACTAGGAACTACTATAGGGAATAACTCAGAAATTAAGACAACAGTACTGATATCTCTAAGCTTTTAATTTTCTTAAATGTTCAGTTTTAAATTAAACCAAAGCAGTGTGAAAAAGTCAAAATTACAGCAAATTGCTTGATTACAGCACTTACTGCACAGAAAATGAAAGCAATAATATACTCCAAATATTACAGTGCCACATTTTTAGTATCATTAAGTTACGTTACAGGCACTTAACACAAGATTTCAAATGACCACACATGTATTTGTTGCAAATTACTTAACTTTTATATCGTGAATTTCTTCAATGAAACAACAAAATGCAAGCGCAAGAATAAATCACACTGAAAATTAACAAACAGAATGAATTAACATGACTCTTCTTAATCAATAGCTTATCAATTTAACATCGTTATCAATGGCAAGCAAAATGTGAATTAAATAGCATCAATGTCCAAGTCATCGTCATCCTCAGCTGGAGCTGTGTTGTCAACCTGAGCCTTTAGCTGCTGCGCCTTAGTATCATAGACTACCTCCACCTCCTCTTCTTCCTCTTCTTCACTGGACTCTTCTTCTTCTGCTTCTTTCAGCCACTTGATAAAAGGAGCCACCTTTGTGTGGATCTGAGAGCACACCTCTTTACTCACATACTTTTTGGAAACCTGTAAACGTAAAATTCATCACAGATTAGGGCAGTGGTTTGCCTGGTCAACTTGCTTTTGCTATGGGCAACAAGGAAATCTTGTTTTCACACAACTTTTTTTGGGCATCCTGAATTATCCGTTCAGAGCTGCTACAATCTTGGACAAAACTGTTGAGAAAATTGTATACTTGGACAGCATTTTTCTAAACATCGTAGCTGTACTGGTTCTTCCCTCTCCCCCTTCCCCTTAAAGCAATGTTGTTGTGTATTCAAAAGAAAGCCTGATCCATGGGCGTTTGTGGGAAGCAACATTGAATTGGGGGAAGGGGTTTTCTTTCCGCAAAGGCGTCGTTTTGGAAATACTTTTGTTGCGTAGGAAAGTGGACATGACGGGGAAAACTTTCTCAAGTAGTTTTGTCTGGGATTGTAGGTTACACACAGTTTTTCTACGAGCAGAGCCTTGACAAAGTCTTTCATCTAAATCCTAAATTTGGCAATTCTACAATTCCGAAAAAGACTGGAGCATTCAATTCAATGTCATGTGTATGATCGATTCACGCTTCGTTTTCCAACTAATTTGTTCTTTCGTTTTTCTTTCATTATGAATGAAAAACAAAAGCTCATTTCATTTCTTATGCAAAAGAGAATGGCTGTTGAGTTGTTTGATATGATCAGTATTTGACTGTTTACTGCAAAAAAGGCATCAAAACTGTGAAAAGCATAAACCTGTTGGTGATAGTTTGGATGATATCTGTTGTTCAAAGTTTCAAAGTTATACTTTGGCCCAGACCACTTTTGAAATACCACAATTTAAAATGTCACGTGGGACATATGACGCACTTTGAATAATTTCTCGATTGAACACTGAGACTGTGCCCTCAGTTCTGAAGAGATTATAGTTCATGCAAAACAAGTTTAAAATATATACACCTCACACATTCATCCAAACACTTAACATGTTTGGTCAACTCTTACTGGATCTAATGATCACCCCTACCCCTTACACCATTCACAGTTACCCCTTTAAGTGCCAATAGTGACCAAGAACCATTTTTCTCCTAACAATATCCATAGATTGCCAAGAGATATGGTTATAAGAATTAATAAAATGATCACCAAAGAGAAAATGCCTTGATCTTTTATCAAATCTTAAAGGAAATTATATCATTATATGGAGATCAGGTTGGAGAATTTGTATGTGTCTGTTTGCGTATAAAGGGCTGCAGTGCAAGTGTTAACAGGGGGCAGAAAGAAGAGGATGACAACACGTATGTTATGGTTATTATCTGCTTATTGTTGTGATCCTCACTTTACATTTCAGAGCTCTGGTCTTTTACAAACAGATTGCTTTAAAGGAAGGAGAAGTTTGGCAGAAAATGTTTTCAAACATTATTTGCCGTCTTCTTTCTTCTGCCATGCAATAGAGAGAAGTGTGAAGTCATGTTACCATGGGAATACCATTTCTGGATCACAAAAATGGGGAGCTTAAGCAACAACGACGGCGATGACATCAAGAAAGGCAAAAAAGCAATCGGTACATCAGCAAAACAACAACTTTGCATGTGCATCACACTTTTTTGGACATTTCTTCAAGTTAGCAGTCACTGCAAGTGTGAGATAAGAAACTTCCTAATTTCACATGCACGTTTTAAGGAGCTGGTGAACACAGAACGAAAAATGTTCTTTTTCTCTTTCTAAACCAGATATGGTCCTTTCGGATTCAAGCCCAGACAATTTCGCCATGATTTTACAAATTAAATGAAACTGAATAAGATCGAAGAAATTTGTAACAGTGTGAATTCACTTTTTAAGTGACATTTTCCCTTTGTTGTTGTCCAGAAATTTTGCTACCATGGCAGTGTGTGGTAATGACTTCGCCTCTCTACTGCATAACTTCACTAATAACAAGACACTACTGGCTTTGCTACAGACAGATAGCAACAGATTACCACTTTAGCTCGTTGTTTACCTTTTCGCTCCACTGTAAGATCACCTCCTCCTCCACAAGGTCAGAGTCATAAAATGCTTTTAGAATAAGAGCTGCCTTAGGCATCAACTCATCAGGAAAAGACTGTCCAATAAGCAGCTCAAATGCACCCAGCAGGTACTTCTGGGCCTTGTGGTTACCATTAACAAACTAAAGTAAAAACAAGGCAAACATGAATTTATGCCAACATCATCATCAAACTATTATGACCAGGTAACTTATTCTAGCCAGACACAATAAAAGGTTAACCTATGTTTCTGCTTTCTACATGAAAGGAAAGACATGTGACATTTTGGCTATACAAGACTACATTACATTTGGGTTTACCTCGTTGTAAAAAACCTGTGAAGTATTTCTTTGTTTTCTAGCTATTATTTTCCATGGCTCTATTGTGTTGACTTCTCAATGGGTTCTTTGCATTCATTGTTTTACATCACTCGTGAGTTTTCACAAGTTTTCACACCAAGGATGAGCCTTGCATTTTATACACATGTACATTGCTTCTAAGAAACTTGAATCAATGTGTTGGTCACAAGGGGCTTTCAGGCAAATACAACTCAAAACTCACCCTCAAAAACAGATTTCGGAACTTGGGGATTTGGCTGAGCATTTTACTATCAAAAAGTACTTCACTAAGGGCTAACACAGCTTTGTCCTTTATATCAAGCCTTTCTGCTTCGGCAACAATCTCTTTTGCACCCTTTTCCACGCTGCTTGTTTCCTTTTTTGCCTATTAAGAATAAAAAAGGATTAGTATTAATGAAGGGTAACATTTAAACATGGATCACTAACACCATTTAAATGTAAGTAGTAACTTTAGCAGTGTACATATTCCTGAAATAACACCAAGCAAATGGACCAAAATCATGGTGTGTAGTTATTGTGAAAGATCTTTAAGATTAAGGTCAAACCTTTGCCAATTTCCATTTTGAAACTGAAATCACTATTTTGTTGTTAATGGTACACAAATTAATCATTTCTACGTTCCTCGAACTGCTCTTGGAGACTTCCAATACAACTCAATTAAAAAACTAGTACCTTAACAAAGGAATAAAACAGATTGAAGCGCTCTTCCTGCGTCTTTTCAGTATCGTCAGTTAGTGCTAATCCTTTAACACCTGAGGAAAGATTTCCCATTCTCTTCTGCACAGCTTCTTCACTTGTATCTACACTCCAATCATCATCTGCAGCTGCAACTGGCTGCAATAAATAAACACATTACAGGGTTCTCATTAAGTTTTAAAGTAGACAGGTAGGATGCAAAAGTAGGAAGCTTGGTAATCAAGTGCTGTAGCCAATTTAAGGCTTTCACTCCCTCACTTTACCCATTTTCTCCCAATAGTAAATGACCCAGACCACAAAGTAGCTGGTTTTTAAGCCGTTTACAGGCACATAATGAGAATCCTGCACTATTCCAACAACAGGATTAAAGTGACTCTGCAATGATTTAAACTACCGTGGAAACCCTACAGTCTGTATTTTACTAACCACCTTGGGAAAAGCAAATTGGTTTGAATTATCAGGAATTAAAGAAAGAAAAAACCAAAGGCTTTGAGAAATCAGGATTTAAATTACTCTTTTGTAACCTTTAGGCATGATTAAAAGTCACTGCAAAGCTGAATGGATGGGACAAAAAAGGGTATCCAGGCTTGATGCAGATAAGAACAATTTTACACGAGGTCACTGAACTTAAAGATGCCCCACACAATAAACTTCGAGGAAATTCTGAAGTGACTACACCAGTGATAAAAAACTTTGGCCCAATTTTCATTACTGTTGTTACTGATGGAAAGGATAAAACTGCCTTTATTTTGATAATTAAAACTTACCTCTTTGTTGAAGTCAGGGTTTTCAATCCCATTCTCCCCAGGTTGCATTGGATTGTGGGTAGGGCTAGTTTCCCCATTTTGTTGCCCTTTCTGCTTCTCTCTGCGTCGTTCCTTTTTGTCTCTACAAAGTAAAGAATGAGTTTTTACCACTTTAAATGAAAGACATAAGCAATATCATACTGCTTAAAGAAAGAAACACTAAGCTGACCGTTCAATCTTCAATTATCCGTGGTAATGTTTGACAAAAATAATGACCCATGTTCAGCCTAATCCTGTTCACAAACATTTCCATTGTATGAAGGGTCAAATTTTGTCAAGTTCATGTATTGGACAAAATACACCTTTTGCTAGTCATTATCAGAAAATAATAGTTTCAATACTGAGGTGATCAGTATTATTGCCATGAAAGTGCACTCATTTTCACAAATTGGCCTTGTTTTTGTATTTACAAATTCATTAAGCATTCTTGCATGAAGACAAAATATTTTCAAGAGCACGTATAGGTAATTATATGAAAGTGCATTCTATAGTGCTTATATACAAACAATACCACGACCATTTTTTAAGTTAAAAAGGATGATAAAAATTTCAGTAATGCAAGACTTTTCATGTATAACACCAAAAGCGAAACAACTTAAATTTAGAAGGGTGTTTCACTATTAATCTTCAGAATGTTTTCTACATACAATTGTTGATTTGAGAAAATGAATGTTCAGGTATTTCATGGTAGCAAAACATTGCTTCCATTTACCACCATTTTGAAACATGTTGCTTATATTCATATAAGGTGATCTGAGCACTAATATTGGGCCTTATTGGGCTTCCTAAAGGACAATACCTATCCCATGGTTACTAGTGCAGGTATATAGCTGTACAGTAGGTAAATTCATGTTCTAGTGTGCGAGCATTAAAAACAAATTTCAAATAGGATAGGTAGCATAGTCATGATTGCTTTTTGTTGCACACCATCTTAAAATCTGTAAGAGAGAACTCAGTCGTGCATTTATCTCACTTTTTAGAAGGGGTTCCTGCTGCTTCATTTGGAGGATTTTTGCAAATAAAGGTAATGAGTCTATGTTGCATATGAAGAACTCCACTGTATCCACATGCTTTGCATGACTGTCCAATCCTTTCCTTGCGTGGCTCTACATTCTAGACATTGAAAATGACAAAACATATCTGAATTACTTGATCATGGCAAGAGCCCATCTTCATACATGGAGTCAAATTTCTTCAAATTAAAATTGAAACGAAAATATCTTCAAAATAAGCCTTATAGACTGGCCAAATTCTTTGTGAAACTACAGGTGTATGCCAACTTTTTACCAAGTGAAAAAATCACTTGCACCTTCACACCAAACAAATCACATCTATTCAGTACAATGTCTGTTTTGAGAAAATGGCATAAAAAAACAAGTAATTTGTACTATCTCGAGCTCCTTATTTTTAATTGTCTAGCAAGGGTTTTTTAACTTTTACGCAGGAGATGTACCATTGTACCACTAGCAAATCCAGGTATTGAATTTTAAATACAGATTATTATTATAGTAGTACTAGTATTCCAATTGTCCCAATCCTATGTCCCCCACCCCTAGATGCTCTATTCTCAATAATAAATAACACATTACCAGCACAGTTTCAGGATTTTCACAATCTGGACACAACACAAACTTCTCAATAAATCCGTCAAGTATCTCTTGCAACTTGTCTGCATCATGTGACCCATTGACGATGTAACGCTCATTCTTTAGGTCAATTTGGGTTTGGGCTCCCAACTCACAACCAAAGTATTTAGTTGGATCTAAGAAAAAGAAGAAACCTGGAAGTCCATGACATGTTGCAAATTGAAAGTATAAGAAAACTTTCATTTAACATAATATTCATTTGGAAGGAAGGCAAAACACAGCAACAGTGTGAAATGAAGAAAGTCATTCACCCCAAGTTTCCTGTGGAAGTTTACTTACTTCCCTGCCTACTTAGTTGATTACTCACTTACTCACTTACTTTCACGGACCATAATGGCTACGCCTTTCCTCAAGAGGCAGTAGCCACAACAAAAAAGTAAGACAAACCAACAACAAGAAAGCAAACAGACAAACATAAACAACAGTTCATGCTATCTTACATGCAGGTGGCCTCTGCAATGCTTTAGCTATCTCCACCATATTGACAATTACTGTTTTGATTCCATTTCCTTTCCCTTCCACCTGAAGTGTAAACACAATATTTTTCAATCAAATTATCAAAAAACTATTATATATAGAGCAGAAACTAATAATAATTATTTAAATCATTATCATTTGATGCAAATAAAATTTAAAATTTATTTTTCCTTTTCATTGGCTGAGAGACAACACTATTCTCTTTCTTGCGATTACTCTTGAGTGAAAATGGCAGATTGCTTTGCTTACCGAAGATTTCCACTAAGGACCTGTTTACATGGAGGTGGGGGACCCCAGGTGAGTGAGGTAACCCACTTTGGTGGGGTAACCCACCTGACCATATAATCTCTCATTTTATTTTAATCACATTCACATGATAGGTGAGGTGACTCGCCACATGTTACCTCACCTATCTGGGATTACCCACCTCCATGTAAACAGGCCCTAAAAAACAAACTTGGCGATCAAACAATAAAACAATATTACTGAACTTGGTTATTGCAAAATATTGTGATTTGTCGATTTCTCAGGGATCAACCATTTGCCTCAGCCCTGCTCATCGCTAGCAAATCCCGATATTTTGCTCAACCTTGTCTGATAATAACAATTATTGCTAATTATTTTTTTGTTACTAGCCATATTGCACGATTCTTTGATGAGAATATAGAGCATTGTCAACAAATAAGACATACTTTATTAACTAAACCTGAAACAACAGATAAACCATGAACTTGCGCATATTATGACATGTACTTCAAGGGTCAAATGTAGGTGCAAACTGCACATGGCATCCTAAAAATATCAAATTCATCTTACCTTAGCTAGGAGTTTTGGCATCTTGTAACGATAGAACTGGTCCATGTTCTTTCTGTTGACATTGACGAGAGCCATGATTGATTACTTGTTTTAATGAGCTTCCTTTTGGACAAACGCTTGTAGTGATTGCAGTTCATGCAATAATTTCTGCTGGGAGATATTTTCCCTTTTAAATTCATAAAAGTTCTATGTCTTGTCCTTGTGGCAAAACAAGAAAGGCGTTGTAGCCCTGTATAAGTTTCTTTGTGAAAATGAATCTTGAGCCTCCTCAACCGAGTACAACCTAGGAAAGAAATAAACAACACGGTAATCTACAAGATAATTACAGTATGTGTGGATGAGGTCTTGTATCAGAGACTGACTGAATGAAAAAAAACACAACAATATTTTAAAAACTCATCAGGATTCAAATTTTACACTGCTTATCAGTAAAAAAAAAATCACAGGTTATGTGACTGAAAAGGATTTTAAGTGTAGCCATCTAAATTACTGTGAATTTGGAACTTTAGTGCAGTTATAAACTAATTTGTTATCTGCAACACAAAAAGCTTGCGCAACGCTTGTACATGAAGTTGTTTGAAGATGCTAGCTGGTACAGCTCAACAAGAACAGAAGCTGTACCGATACCTGAATTGAATGAAATGGGTCCATAGCCTGTTACTATTTGTAGTTAGCTATTTGTGATTTATGTTCTCTGTTGAATGAACAGGCAGCAGATATATTTCATGTGACGGGCTTTGCGTGTAGGACCAACCAATGCTTGGAAGTGCTATTGCAACCAGGAGCAAATTTCTAGTTGCACTACCAAAATTTCAGACCCCAGCTAAAAAAATGTTAGAAGCACTACTTAGAATACTGAGAGCAGCCACAGACAAAATATCAGGAGGATTCAGACATAGTATTACTATAAGTCATCACTTATCAGTATGTCATATTTTATGTCAGTCCTCTGTTTATTTCTCTCAGGCTTTTGCTGTTGTCATCGTTACCTTTTTTAAACCAGCCTTTTCAGTCTCAAGATGTACAGCATATTATACTTCCACATAACAGAAAAACGCCACATTCATTTCCTCTGAAATATACATTGTTGCTCACAACTTCCATTTCATTTTTGTGATAAAGCTGCTACAGACTTGGAGGTAGAACATTCACTGACAGTGCATAACAATGACTTGATGAGTTAAGAATCCCAAGAATCAGCAACTGCAATTTACTGCAATAACTCATGTATAAGCCACACATCCAAGTTTTGACCTTGACTTGGAAAGTTTCCTTATTCTCTGTGGTGCTAAATCTTTAACAGTTGTATTTGCACAGAGTAGAAACAAATCCTCCAGAATCTAAAGGAATAATTTATTTCTACTCTGAAGTGCAACATCTGTTTTCATCACTAAAATTCAGCCTTGATGAAGGACCAGGAGACATGCTATATGTATAAATAGACTTCTCTCTAAATCAACTTCTTTTCTGAAAAACAACAGTGATGTCACTTTGCAATAAAGTTTGGTAAGTCCTACGCAATGAAAAAGTTCACAAGGATCACATTTCACCGATGTTCATATTGTTGAAACCAACTGTGAAAATGCCACACAAAAACTTGGATTGATGAAAAAGCATTTATTTTCCAGTTTTAGTTCTCACACAAACCACAAGATTTTTTGTCTTTTACAGTTTTCTCCCTTTAGCTGCAGGTTTAATCAACATTTTGACATAAATATTTGTTGATGAATTACTTTTACTAAATTGAATTCTACTAACAACTGCTACAGTAATCCAAGAACAATTTCCAAATTAACGTCCAATATTATTCCAAACCTTGTGTTCATCTCTAATTTCTGTGAAAGAGTGTTAGCTGTTCAACTGACCAAATGTCTTACTGATAATTCCCTGATGGAACACTTCCAGTCGACTTATAAACCCAGTCATGGTACTGAATCAGTACTCTTAAGGCCTGGTTCAAGATGACATTTTGCAAGCCATCGACTATATTACTGCTCCTCGACCTCTCAGAAGCGTTTGATATGGTTGACCATCGCATTATTTTTGCTTGCTAGACTCACTGACCGATTTGGCACAGATGGCAAGGCTCACGACTGGTTTAATGTTTAATGCAGTTTGTTGCTCTTGGAAGTGCCCACTCATCCAGTCTGCCATTGAATTGTGGTGTTCCCCAGAGGTCAGTTTTGGGTCCGATATTATACCTGTGTTACGTCAACCCATTGGGTGACATAGAGGCATCACAACATGTCTTTTCACTTTTACGCTCATGATACTCAGCTTTATATATCATTTGAGTCGTCAATTTTGGGTGATCTTTCAAGGCAATGCTCTACATTGGAAGTCTGTGCTCATGGTATTGATATGGAGGATATTACATGGCTGCGTGGAGATGCAAAATTTCTCTTTGAGTGTTGAAATGTTTTTTCAACACAAGAATAGAAATTTTGTATCTCCAAGCAGCCATGTAATGTTCTATTTATTATATAAACACCAATGAATTACCAAACCATTTCACTTTAATAGTTTTTTGCTGTGAAAGGCGCAATTTATTATGTAGCCATACCAACAGTGATATTTCACGTGTGAAGATAACATGTTATTTTCACATATAAAGATATCAAGTTTTCACCTGACAGCTCGCCTGGTATTTCATTGGTGTTCATATAATATCTTGTTAAGAAAGATTTTAATTGTATCATTTAGTTATTTTAGTGACTGTGGACTTTGCAATGACTTTTTTAGATTTTGAGTGGTTCGTACTTTTAGAAAAGGCATTATATAAATTGTTTATTACTATTATTGACTTAGAGAAAAAGATATAAAAACCATTTGGACAGATGATCCAACCGTTTAAACAGATGTCACATCTCTTCAACCAGACGCATAGCCCGCGAGCAAGCTCGCCTAATTGGGCAAGCGAAGCGAGTCTCGCGAGAACGCGCGAGCCAGGGACCGAGGAAAGGAGAGCTTGCAACCATCTCTCATAAATTTTCATTTCCACCCCGGAAACCCCGGGACTCCGCAAAGCGTGAAAATTCTCACCGCAAACGTGCCGCAGATTAGAAAAGTGACAACCGCCTGTCAAGTAAGTTTAGACAGCTGAGGGCGCGTAGAATTATTTATTTATAAATCACTTTCGCAACAGCATTAAAGCAATGTTTTTAATCACTGATATGTTTCTTTTTTCACGAGAACATCGAACTTCAACGTGTCCGCTCGGATAAGAACTCACTACTTTGACTCTCGTTTCGTTTACTTTTGAAAATTCGTCCATACTGCAGCGTAGAAGATTACTGCCCATCGCAATCACCAACAAAAACATCACACATCATATGTTTGTCCGTCTGGAACTGGAGAATAGCGTTTTCCTGCACTTGGTTCTCTTAAGGTTTACTCCAGTTGCTTCCAACTCTTTCTCTTTTCCTTCTTTACGATCAAGCTACACAGCTACACTGTCAAGTACATGTTTCTGAATTTTTCTACCCAGTAGAATTCAATCGGGCGAAGAAACCGATGTTGGAAGACAGCGCTTTAATCACTCTTCACTTTCACTCTCCCGGTTTTCAGAACTAAACAAGGCGCTTGAGACAAATGAATACAACTGATGAGGGGTTTTCATTTTCCTTCCACAAGAACTACAAATTCGGTCCGACTTATCCTCGGCACGCAATATTCTCTTTGCGAGAATTACATCAAACGAGCCTGTCTGCATTGAGAGCTGAAACAAGTTCTCGGTACCAATCTGATCCCCCTGAGAACCAAATTTGAAACACAGACAAAGCAGGTGCCAGCTTGGCCTGTTATCAATCAACTTTGATTTCCGGAACGTCATTTTTCAGCCAATGGTATTTCCCTTCGTCTGGGCGAAGTACAAATGAAAATTTGTAAGGGATGGTTGCAAGCTCTCCTTTCCTCTGCCCCCTCATGGCTTCGCCGCTCGCTCGCGCGTTCTCGCGAGACTCGTTTCACTTGCAAAAATAGGAGAGCTTGCTCGCAGGCTACCAGACGCAGAGCAAATGGACACACATGTAATTTGTGAACAGATGTCTTCTGGCCACCTTCTGTAGCAAAGTTGACAAGAACACGCAACTTAACGTTGAGAACGAAAATAATGAACCTCTGAATTGAGAGAAACCACAAGTGGAGAAACAAATAAAACACATGCCGATGCATGAAGCCCTGAGATGGTTTAAAGTTCCACAATGGACATTGACTCCATCCCCTTCCAGCTCAAAATCAAGGAGATTAAAGATTCACGGGAACAAATCCTCACTCCACAGGCAGATTTTACAACTCAATTTTTCACTGGCTATTTAGTTTCGCCAAATGTTCACTTGTCATGTTTCTTTAAAATTACCACACCATAATTTGATATATATTTTTAGGTTTCTTGTTGTTCCCCATTTATTGTCACATTGTAATTAGCTTTACTTTCTACACTATTGCATCCTTTTCACATTTTTTTTACATTCATACCCACTGGAAGGTTATATTTCTTGCACTAATGAGCAATTAAGGTTCATCTGAAACCTGCTTATACAAAAAGAGCACTTTCTTTTAAGACTGTTCCCACAACCGATGGAGTTTTAAAATTTAAAACAGTCAAATAGCTCCTCGGGCTTAAGTATCCAACTGATTTCCTTTTTAATATCCTTTCTTCCCGGAATTCCCCAAGGAAGGAGAATGCTACAGATTCCTCGTGTTCCTTTAAAGGGCAGTTTTCTCAGTTTATGAATGTGACATAACACCGCATAAATTGCATTTGTCATTAAATTTAAAGACTCCTTCTCATGAGGGCCGAACGGAGTGATTTATGTAAAATGTGCATACATTAAAAAATATTGACCAATTCAAAGACAACACATCATCTTCAAAACGTTTTCTCCAAAGAAAGGAACTCAAAACTTTGCTTTTCTACACAAAAAAGTTACCGCTAATTTTAACCACGTTTCACACTAAGAATTTGCTGTATATTTCTGTGTCACTGTTTCGAGTCAATATCAGAACGTTTAAACCAATACCACGATTAACACGTTTCACCTGGTTTCACAAAGACTGAGAAAAGATTTGAAGAACTTTAAATACTTCGCTAATTTCAGACTCGGTGATGAAAAAACAATGAATCCTGAAAAAGGAGCGCTTTTCGGAGAATTTAAGTTGTTTTATTTTCTTACCTGAGCAGATAAACGTCATAAATTGTCGTGAGATGACGAAATTCCTCGAAATCTCCCTGCACTTCAATCGTGCTTAATAAACACGCACTTGACTAGCAAAACGCCACAAAAAAACACCTAGAAAGGATAAAAATACACTTAAGGTTTTTTTAGCATCGAAACATGACCGTCGTATAAATTCTAGTCCGAAAAAAAACGACTTAACGCTAAGCAAAAAATCGCCATCCGCTACTCACTGAGTCTCCCGCGACAAGATGGCAGACCATGCAAATCTCGTCACGTGATAATTTATGACGTCAGCTCATACCCATTCTCCCGCTTACTTTTCTTTTCACTTTCGTTCCCAAGTCCCCAACTTTCCCTTCCTTTTTCCACTTTCTCATTTGCATTTGTTCTGACATGTTTTGTTTATCCTTCGATTGTGGTTATTCTGCGCGATCACCGTGATGAAAATCGAGTTCTGTCAGGGATCCGTTAGAACCCAGCTACGAGCTGTTTCTTGAGTCAGAAGGTGCAGTATTTTCAAATCGAAGTTGCTAAATTACAGAGAGATTTTTGCGGAGTCCTTTTGCTTTTGTCTTCGCTTCTGCTTCGCTTGAGAAAGGAGTAGCCCGTCCGTCCACTCCAGAATGGAGGCAGACTCCAATTTTCCTTTGAAAGACATCGCGTCGGTGGTAGAGGTTTTCAAGGTGGAACTTGCAAAAATAGAACCGAACTTGGCCAAATTATCGATTATTTTAGGGTTCTTCGAGACCGCGTTAACCTGCAAGGGATCCTCCAATAGCTGTCCCAGCTTAGATAAAGAAACCTTCGACGCACTTGGCGGTAAATTTCAGGCCTTGGTTCAGAAAGATTTGAATGCCAACAGAGAACAAAAACCAGCAACGAGAGAATTCGTTGTAGATGTCGCAGATCTAGTCTGGAGTTGTCTTTCAAAGTCCTATTTCAAAGACAAGCCACACATCCAGAATTTATATAGTTTTTTGACAGGCAAGTTTCACTATAACATTTGTTATAATCTGTTACAAACCTCTTTATGAATGACGATGATACATGGGCTGATCACTACAATCCGTTGTGAGCTTAATATATTTAATGTTTCAATTCTTAGTCTCTAGTGTTTTTCAACTGTCTGTGATTTTTTAAGCTTTTAACTTTTTGATCAATGAACAATATAATTCTAGCTATCCCCCGTTTATTACTTTAAATTATGAGTACTAGGATTTTTTTGGATATTTACAGAATGAAACTGAATAATTTTTTTTAATCGAATCTTGAAACATCTAATCTTTTTAGTTGTTCTCTATGTCGATCTATTTTTGTCAAAAAATCCATTTATATATATATGTATATATTATTGGAGCCAAATTGACTCTGTTTCTTTGTGTATAGAGCAGAAACTTTGATTCTATTTAACCTGTTAATTGCAACCTTTAGAAAGATTCACCCTGTAGGAATCGAAGCTAATTAATATTCAATTCAGGGTATGACTCTGATTTCACATTGATCACCAAACAAAAAATTATTCCTTGACAACAGTGTCAATATTCTGAGAGAAGTTGTTGAAAGTTTTGCAGAGATCTGTGACAGAAAGAATTATAAGATGGTAATGCATTGTTATAAACTTTGAACAGTTGCAGTTCATATCTTCAAGCAAGTTGGGGCAGGGAGCATTCATCCAGAACCCAAAGATATTGGGGAGGCTGGCCTGTTAATGGTGACGTAGTTTATGCTAAAACTTGGGAGCTATTGACTGAAAAACCCTATCAAGCCACCTTAAAATAAGGTGGGGGCCAAGGCCCCTTGTGCCCCTTTCATAGATCTACTAATGGGAAACACTGGTAACTTTGTATCTGGTTTATTCATGGCCAAATAGAATTTTCCTATTGTTTTGATAACTTCTTTTTCAGTAAATATTTGAAAAGTTAATTTGTTGATCGAGTATAGACCATTTTACACTTGTGGACTTAGTACTCTAGAACTTCGATTGAATGTGAGGCTGACGGTGACCTTGTTTTGATACAAACCTCCTTTGATTTGTTATGGAAATTGTCCCTGAAAAATACTAGTTAGCATAAGAATAACTTGATTTACATAATAAAGCAGGAAGGTTTGTACCAAAACAAGGTCACCGTCAGCCTCGCTTCCATCCATAACTGTAAAATGGCCTATTGACCAAGTGTTGATCGAGAGTCTGTCAATATCTATCGGCCAAGTGGCGTTTTCCTGTCGGTCAAGTATTAGTTGACAGATCGGTTGACAATCGCCATCACTTTTACCAAACTTGTCCCCAGTGCTTTTCCCTTTGTTACAAGGTACCTAACAGCTGACACGCAGTGGAAGAGCTACCCATTGAAATAATGTCAACAAACGGTATGTATTATTCATGGAAAATTTTTTTTTAAAATTATTTCTTTACAGGAAATCGACTGGACTGTTTTGGTGTTGCCTTTGCTGTAGTTGCCATTTGTCAGGCACTGGGTTACAATGATGTTCATTTAGCACTGTCAGAAGACCATGCCTGGGTGGTTTTTGGTGAGAGTGGCAAAGAGACAGCAGAGGTTACATGGCATGGTAAAGGAAATGAAGATAAACGTGGTCGTCCTGTGGACTTTGATGAGAGCACTGCACACAGCTGGTTGTACCTGAGTGGTTACCCTGTAAAATGCACAAGACACATGGAGGTTGCATCCATGGTAACGTCAATAAACCCTAACATCAACAGCACAACGGACAGTGTGGAGTTAGCTAGTTTGCAGCAGGTAAGGTGTGAAAGAACCTGTTTTGCAGTTTCTGTATCTTGAAAATGTGGCCAATAAGTTTTTCAAGTTTGTTGCTTGTAATCCATGTCAATCTACATCATAGTAAGACACCTTTTATCACAATGGTCCACTAGTCAGTGGCCACATTGCTGTTATTCTTTTTCTTTCAAAATAAACTTGAAATTAAAAAACCTTCCTTATTAAGTTTATTTAAGTGCTAATGTATTTAGCATGTACAGTGGAACCTCAATATAACAAACCTCTGTATATAACAAAGTCCTTGGTGTAACAAACGATTTTCTTTGTCCCAATAATAGTAAATATATGAAAAGGAACGTCAATATTACAAAACCTCCTTATAGCGAACAAATTTTGCCACAAGTCCCTTGGCCCTTTGTTATATCAAGGTTCCACTGCACTGACGGCGGCACATGCCTATAATTAGCCCATATATGATAGTACCCTCTTGGGGGGTGGGTGGATCCTTAACTTGAGAAAAAGGGAAGGAGTGCTTTTCTAAACTTGTGATAACAAGGACCAAGTCTCGAAAACTTATTTTTGACTCTTTAATCTTCTGTTTGGTTGAAAAATAAGAGGGATTGGGTCCTGAGGTCTCATAAATTTGAGCATTTAGTTTGTGAGTACCGTATTTATTCGACTATAAGCCGAGCGAATAGTTAGTTACGGTAATATTTATTAATTCGCGTGTGGGAAGCTTTTTGCATAATAAATCACCATTGCATCTCTTGCATACGCGCGTGTGTGTTATCGTTCTAAGCCTCATTTATGACAATCAATGTGATTTTCTTCCGAAAATGTTTGGTTTTCGCGTAGTTAACAATTCAGTCTTGTAATAATGAATGGGTCTCAGCTTATAGCCGGGTGTTTTTGATTTATTTTTGGTTTTCGTTATGCCGAGTCTACACGTTCAAAGTTTGGGGTCTCGGCTTATACCCGAGATCGGCTTATAGTCGAATAAATACGGTAATATTTAAGTATATGTTACATGTATATTAATTTTGTTTTAAAACGACAGCACATATGATGCTTGATTGTTTTTTATTTAATTAACAGCAACTTTTGTGGTTACTCTATGATCAAGGCCATCTTAAGAGGTAAATAATATTATTTTTTCACAATTTCTAACAGTATCAAACATAGGACTATATTTTGTTAGGAGTGGCGAATGGTACCTCGAAAAACGTGGGTCTTGGAAAATTTTGGCAGGATCTCGGAAGCGTTTTTGATAAGTTTTGAAGTCTTGTTTTTTCATGGTTTGCTTTTACTTTTTTTGAGTCTCGAAACTTTTCACCAAAGAGTCTCGGGCTCGGATTTCTAACTAGGATCTCGGCGTCTCAGCGAGTCTCGGATTTTACCATTCGCCACCCCTTTTGTTAGGAAATCAAGAGTGAACTCCAGTGTTCCATCAATAATTTGCGTAGGACATTTGTTTCGTGATGTATCATGTTTCCCATTGTCTAGATGAACCCTTGAACAAAATTAAAAGTGTGTCAAGCCAAAAGTGTAAAAATTATAAAGGACTACAAGTAAATCAGGAGATCTAAAATATTCTAGCAGGATGCATACAGGGTTGTCATTGAGAGCCGGGGGCCGGGGATTTTCCCCGGCTACTAAGAGAGTGGCCCCCGGCTACTTTTATTGGAGAATAGAAGAAAAATAGAACCAAAAGAATACTTTTAGCAGTGGTCTGAAAGTCCCTTCCATCAAATAATTTACCTTCTAAGATAAAAAGGCATATGTAGCACGTTTGAGAAAAATGTACACTTCTTTGTAACTTACTGTGATTTTGATAAGCATGGATTGTTCAAACTTAAAAAAAATATCTTTTCCTTCCAGTACAAATACATGTATGACATAAGTTTTTTTTTCAGCACTTTATCAGGGTCTGCATGGTTCCTGAAAGGTGACTAGCACTAATGCAGGATTAAAATTTAAATGTACCACTTTTTGTATTTACCTTCCTACACATTGCTTAGAGTAACATTTCGTGTTATCATTCTTTTTTTCGAAGTAAAGGCACAACGGTTTTTTGTAAGCTCAAGTTACATGTTCTTAGACATGAAACCTTACTTAAAATTTAGCTTACTCCTGGGTTAAACTTAACCATCTTTCGAGGAATAGGCCCAGGAGGCTTAATTAATTTAAATTTTGTGCATTACTCCACTAGATATCCATTGGCTCTGGGCAATCTTGGTGACTTGGAAGAAATATCACCAACTCCTGGCCACCCATCAGCAGAAGACATCCTTAAGGAAGGCATAAGAGTGGGCCAATCCCTGTACAAAGATTATCATGTGTACCCCTATACGTACCTTGCTGGTTATTATTACAGACAGAAGCAGTATCTGAAAGCCATGGATCACTGGGTCAAAGCAGCATATGTTGCTGGAAAGTACGTAGCGGTAACTAAGTAAGGTAAAAAAGGCAGTTAAAAAGAAACACTGCCAATTTCCCTCCCTTGAACCAGAGAGGTGATATTGGAGATCAACATGTATGATTGGTCTCTCCCCACTCGCCCATTAATGTAATATTACAGCACAAATAGGAGACCAAGACACTGGTGCCTATTTCCTCTCTAGTACTCTTAGGCTGTGGCATGTTTCCACCTGGTAAGCTAGGTTGAATGGGTACTGGTCTGCTGATGGGGGAGGAGGGGTTGAGTTTGAGCACGAGCTGGACCACAAAACCTGAGGGACTTTAAACAACTGTTTTAGTTTCATGCTGGTTGTGATTTAAAAGGGAGCTTGTGTCAGTTCACATAATTGCATCATTTGGGCAATGACATAAAGACTTTCTTATTAGTTGCAAGAGGACATTAAAGAACCTACAGTAGTGCAAAGATGTCTGAAAAAAGGGGGGCATTTTTATAGACCACAATGGTGTGGCCTGTCTTCTCATGGGGTGTTTCCCATTTTCTCATGGGCTGTAATTGTGGTGTGCAAGCTGAAATTGTGGGATGATCGTACTTAAATGCAATCATTATGCATGGCGACAACTTACACCAACTCCTTGTAGGTACAACTATTCAAAAGGAGATGAGGAGATGTTTAAAGAATTCTATGAGATAGCCAATGACTTTATCCCAAACATTCTCAAGATTACATCTTCCATCAAAGGTGACAGTGGTGCCATCCTGTCTGCCAATCTTGCTGAAGATCCAACCTTCTTTAGTCTTGTTCTTCAGTTTTATGATGGCATCTGCCTATGGGAGGAAGGCAGCCAAACTCCTGTTATACATGCTGACTGGGCAAAGAAGCTCGTTCAATCAATTTCACGATTTTCCCCTGCTTGTAGATCTGCATTGTCATCTATGCATGCAGGAAAATTACCTTCGGTTCCAGAGCCTGTGAAAAATGATACACCTGAAATAAAGTCATCCGCAGAGGAAAGCAGATCACTGTCATCATCCAATAAGAATGAAAACAACAGCTCAGCAACAGCAAGTGTAGAAAACTCTAAAGAACCAGTGGTGTTGAGTCTTAGAAGCCAAAAAATGAAAGGCATGCGAGATTTACTGACAACTAGTGGCAAAATAAACACTAGTGCTATCAAGCTGCAATTAACAGCTCAGTCCCAAGTGAGTGTGCCAAAAAATCGCAGGAGGTCGTCATTCAAAACAGACGACTATGTTTATGACTTTGGTGAAGGAGCTGAGGGAGAAGATGAAGAAGAAGAGGAGGAGGAGAAGGAGAAGAGGCCAAGGAAAGCTATGAAAGGAGACAGGGATTATGTTGTATACTGATTTTATTTTTATGTTGGAAGAAGAATACAGTCAAACCTCCAGTAACGGCCACCTCTCCACCACGTCAACCTCTCTATAGCTACAACGGCCATTTTTTTTTTGCGGACAGTCCATACATTGACTCTTGTTATGGCCACTTTCTGCTGTCCCTAATGTGGCTGTTGTAGAGAGGTTCAACTTTAGAAAAGTATTATTTAATTTCCAGCTGTCCTGAGTTTTTCTTCGGGATGGTGTCCTCTCACCCTACCAGCAGAGTCTTTCTTTTGCTTGCTCAAGTTTAGCATGCTCGAGAATTTAGGTTTCTAGGAAACTGCCTGCCTACCCCTCCCCTAACCCAACATTTTGCCCTAAGTGAGAAGTAAGTGTTAATGTTGACTTAAGGGAGGGGTAGGTGGGCAGTTTCCCAGATACCTAAATTGATCCAAATTCTTCTCCCATAAAAGTTTTTGTGCATAGAGAGGTAGACAATATTTTCCATTTACTACTCTCATATTTTGAGGGAAAGTGGAGAATTTAAAGTATCATACTTTTATACTAGTAGTGTACAGGGGTGTAGCCAGGATTTTTCAAAGGGGGGGTCGCAGAGGCTACTCACCGCTGCTCTCCCTCGTGTATCGCGCTATGAAGGCCCATATTAACTAAAGACAAGAGCCGTTGACGAAAATTCTTTACAAAAAAACAAATTTTAAAAAAGTGGGCTTTTCAACAATGGCTTTTATGGCCAAGATATTGTCATGGCGTTTTCGCCACCTGAATATTGTAGGTTGTTTGCTCAAAAGAAGGCCTACCAAGGGTGGGTCACGGGCACCCCAGGACCCCCCCTAGCTACTCTCCTGGTGTACAATTATTACAGTCAAACCACGCTTCATTGACACCTGCTTAANTATCGCGCTATGAAGGCCCATATTAACTAAAGACAAGAGCCGTTGACGAAAATTCTTTACAAAAAAACAAATTTTAAAAAAGTGGGCTTTTCAACAATGGCTTTTATGGCCAAGATATTGTCATGGCGTTTTCGCCACCTGAATATTGTAGGTTGTTTGCTCAAAAGAAGGCCTACCAAGGGTGGGTCACGGGCACCCCAGGACCCCCCCTAGCTACGCTCCTGGTGTACAATTATTACAGTCAAACCACGCTTCATTGACACCTGCTTAACGTGCAGAAGGTTGAAAACAATATTATTGTGGTGCAGTCGCTAAAGCCACCAGTTTATATGTACCAGCCATTTTATCTGTAGAGTTTTGCTTGTTTTATTATCTTTTGTGGGACTTGATGACATACTGTTACGAGGGGAAAAAATACACTATTCCTTCATTTTTAATGATAACTTATCTAGAGTTTTACATATAATATAACCAAATTATGCATGATAATCTTAAAGGCTAACATATTCATGAGAACACCAATGCATCAACCTTTCCTGGGGGTCAAAGTGCGACTCCACAATAAAAGTGACAGGGGTGCTCATTGATTTTTAGTCTCCCACCCAGACGTTCTTAGGGGTTCGTCACACCTTCCTGCCCCACGTTCGTCAGGGAGGATAATTTTGCGTGGCGAGCCAAAAGAACATCTGCGTGGAAGGATAATAATATTGATTTTTTATTTTACCTCATGATCAGGTGCTAAAATCTCAAATGGCAGTTGTTTAATTTCAGTGTTTTTTTTAGAGGTTTTCAGTTTATCATGCACATTCTGTAACATGTTCTGTACAGCTGCTATCGTATCCCATACAAGTCCCAGATACAGGTCTTAAAAAAAGTATTTTCATCATCATCTCATTTGGGCCCTTAATGTTTAATCAAAAGAGACATGTACCCCATCTCAAGACAAAGTTAAATATATTTAAAAAGAAAGCAAACATACTTATAGACCTTGCACCAACCTAATTAGGGGCCTAACATGCCCAGAAGTCTCACTGCCATTTCCACTACATAATTTGTTAGAAAGTTCACAGTACCTTGCTGAGCGTTTATCAGCCATTAAAGTTGACTATTCTATATTTAACCACTTTAAGCCATTTGAAGACATACAAAACCAAAGAGTTTTAAACAAAGAGTGTTGTGGTATAGTTAAGCTTGGAACAGCTCTAAAGTGGCCAACAAGACAAAGAGGGTAAGGAAATGAGTCTAATATAGTAAATTATAACAGTTCAAGTAAAAATTGATCAGGATGTGGTTTGCAAAGTGCAGACATGAGGATTAGTCTTCCATTTTTATGAACATATACCTGGACTTGACAGCGTGACTGTTTTTTATATCTGTAAAAAATAAAGTGTATAACTATTTAAGTGGTTTGTTGTTTGTCTTAGAATTTGCATAAAATCGAGAACATGCCTTTACAACCCTCTACAATTTCTCCCGTCCTTGACAGATGAGCCAATCTGCTTGTTTTTCCAGTAAAATCCTCTGTGTAGTTATATTCGGATAGGAAACCACGTACATGTCAAAAGCTTGGGGTGGCCTCAGAGGGTTGGCAAATGCCCGACCCCCTGGCAGCGCAAAATTTACTAAGGCTCACACTTGTAAACACGAAATTTCTGACAGAAAAATAGTAAATTGTAGCCCTTACTTTACTTCCTTACAAAACATAATAATCTTGAAACTCAAAGGTGATCATATAAAACGACAGTGTTAATAAAAAATCCATCCAATGTTTACAAAACCCCTAACAGGAGCGCCTCGGTATACTTACTAATCAAATCGTTCTTTAGTTTAATATTTCATTGCTAAGTATGATTTACGGAGCTTCTTTGTGTGCTTGCATAGAAGGAAGAATTAAATTTTGTCAGTATTTCAGATGGCAAAAGAGAAAGAGGCCTCCAAAAGAACTTGTGGTCCCATCCTACTCCATACCGCAGCTTAGGTCGAGTGGATGTCACAGCATGCGTCATTGCATCAACCACTTTGTAAATATGTGTTGACAGAAAAAACCTAAACTGACCAGCATACATGACCTTTCCTAGAGAAGATTTAAGTAAAATATGGACATTAACAAACCATCTGTTACAAAATGATTCCACTTCTAGCGAGTAAAACAGTATTCTGTAATTAATAATGAAAATAATAATTTAGTCCTAGGCAGTGGGGTAGCATGAGATTTTAAAGGTGTATGCACATAGGGAGAAAGTTTGTAGTGCCAAAGGCAGCCAACCTAGGGCCAGGGGGCTGGGGGCATGCTCCCCCAGAAAATTTTTAAATTTAGGGTCTCGGAAGTTCCATTTCCAGCGTTTCCAGCAGGACATTTTCGGCCAATCAATATGCAGGAAAATGCAGTAGTTTTGTCTATTTTACCCATCTCTAGCTAGTGTTGTCAGTAAGGTACGGTGTTTACGGAAGAAAAAGGCCACTGACAACATTAGAATTAAGGAATAATAAAAGTATAAAAGAAATATACTGACACAAACACACCAACACAGGGCACAAAATGTATCAGTCATCCCAATTTAATGATAAAAAATGCTTTTCCAGTGAAAAAATAATTCTTTCCATATTTCCGGCTGTACATGTACACATGGTTGTAATTATGGAAAGGTGACTTAAATTTATTTTTTTTGCCATGTCCCTCTTTTCAATTTCAAATGAAATAGTACCATAAAATTCCAAAAATAAGCCCCTCCAAATATAAGCCCCCCAAACTGGTAACGCAAAAAACCCTCCGTTAATTATTATTGCCCCTCCGGATATAAGCCCCCCGGGGGCTTGTACTTGGAAAATTGCCCTCAAATACAAAGTAAAACAAAGCAAAAGCAGTAAATTTACTTCCAACTATAAGGCTAGCCCAATCGATTTTGAGATGCAAATTTCCCTCTGTAGATAAGCCCCTCCAAATATAAGCCCCTCCAAAAAAAAGCCCCTCAAAAAGGGCCTTTGAAAAATATAAGCCCCAGGGCTTATTTTCGGAATTTTACGGTATTAACAATTTTATCTCAACTGTTGCAGGGGCGGATCCAGGATTTTTTTTAGGAGGGGGTGCACTCGTCTACTTCAACACAAATAAACCACATAGTTTTTTTTTTTTGCAGAATACCAGTGGTATTAGAAAACCGCAGGTCATCTCGAGGGGGGGGTGCGAACCCCCTGCACCCTCCCCCTAGATCCGCCCCTGTGTTGTGAGGCTGGACTATCCACAAGTCAGCAAGCTGTGCGATCCGTGCAAGTCATGGGGAAAAAATAAAGTTTTATAAAATTATCAATACATGAAAAATGTTTCCTGCACAGTTCCCTATGGGCTTGTAAGGTTTTTCTGCTGGAATATTTACAGACTTACGCAGTCTTGGTTGACTTTCACTAATTAAGTCTTTAAGTGCACAAAATCAGGAGATTTAATGTTTGAGGGAAGGGGACTGCTGTACACAGACTAGCTTTCAGTTAATTTTTCACATTATTTGGTAATTAAAACTTCTTCCAAGCATAATTAAATAAGGTTGTGGCTCACCAATATAAGTGTCAGGAATTCCCGGTTTCCCTAGTCTAGACTAAAATCTTCAGCCAATTGATCAGTTGAAATGGAGAATGATACCCTCCTCTAGACCCAGACTCTCTGATTTATATACCCTGCTTGAAAACCATACCCTTCACAGCGGCACATACCTATATGGCCCATATATGGCAGTATTCCCCAACCCCCTCCCCCATCCTCCCCCCCTTTGCTCACCTCAATGAGATGTACACATGAGCTCCTGAGATGCAAGAGCGCATTCTCTCTTGGTTCATCACGAGTAGCCAATTTTCTTACCTGAGGTGCGCTGCTGCTTTGCGCATGCGAGAGCTTGGCTATCACTTTTTTTTTGACTGCCACTCAAGGATATAAAAAATCAAATCGGTTTTGTTTTGGCTGGACTTTGCTAGTGACCTCAGTTGTTTCTGGAAAACAGCTACTCTAGGATAGGGGGGGATTTGGGGAGTTTAGTCTAGCATAGGGTAGCAAAATTCACTTAAACTAGCTCTGGTACAGACTAGGGGTTCCAGGGTCCCAGCAGCACATCCCCACCTAAAAAGTCCTAAAGTACCCTCGGGCGGGGGGGGGGGGGTTGAGCAAGGGTGGCACAGTTGGTTAGTGCACATTCTTCGGTACATGAAGTCCCGAGTTTTCGATCCCCAGTGACACCACATCCTTGTTTCAACTTCTCTCCTTTCTGTGTAGCTCAATTGACTAGCCTTAAATACCCTTAAAACAGAACACTGATGGAGAGAGGGCCCCCGTAAAATGACGTGCCATCAAGCTCAAGTTAATATCAGTTATTGTTATACTGTCACGAGTTATCAATGTAAAAGATGGTCGCTTTACCTTTGTACCTTTCACATGACAGGTTTTTTAAAGTTCTCTGCTGACCAGTTATGGTAATAAAGTGATCGAAGACTCGGAAAACTTTACCTCAGAAAGACATCTTAAAAGTTCACACAGAGCATTGCTTTGGGCCAATCTATATATTACTTACCTAAATTTAACTCTCCTCCGTAACTTTCCTTTGTGTCCACATCAAGGTTAGCCCATAACTTCTCTACCTGCTTTATAGCTACTTCATGATTTACCAGGTTGGTTCTAAACATACCAGGGTTCAAAATGTGAACAGAAACACCAAACTGCTTTACCTCTCGACGCAGAGAATCACAAAATGCTTGAACACCATGCTTTGATATGCAATATGCTGTTACAGAGGGGAGCGAAATTGTTCCCCATGTACTAGCTACATTAACAATGCGTCCCTTGGTTTTCTTAAGCTGTGGCAAGAATGCCTTGGTCACTGATACCATCCCCCAGAGATTGACATCAAGAACATGCTTCATTTCTTCTACAGTCTGCCATTCAATAAGACCCGGGCCTACAATCCCAGCATTATTCACTACAGCCCACAAACCTAAAAGTACATCAAAACATGTTGTTTCAACTGCAAAAAAAACTCACCACATGTTTACTGCTTTCCTGGCCAGTTCCAGGCTCCGAGATAGACTGGTCCGTGAAATTGAGAAAGTGCAAACACAAAACTAAAAGGAGAAACTGGAAGGAAACTTTTTACTGTCACCCCACCTTTTCCCAGATTATGCACTTACATCTTTGCATGCGTTTCATTTACAGGTCGTCCCTACTATCTGAGAGCCTGGAACAGGCTTGTGCATTTATCTTTATTATCATAAAAGTGCTTTCTTGGAGGGCATAAAATTACATGCATTTGTTTGCAAGCTGCAGGTTCCTGAGTAGAAGGGCTTGGGACCAACCAAACCTTAGTGGGGGGTTATTCGGCCCTATATCAGGGAGGTTCTCCACAAAAGGGTACCTTTTTCAGGCCTCTTCAGGGGTTGACCCATATTTTATGGTAGTCTTCAGGGGTGAATACAATTTTATGAAATTCCTCAAGGGTAAGAAAAAAAGGTGAGTCCTCAAACAGGGGCAGGTGATACAGATATTCAAAAGCAAAAGTTCACCAATATTTGATGAATGTTTTCAGATTAACTGGAGATGTCAGAGATGTGTGTAAACGGCCGCAAAAATCGGTGGCAAGAAATATTCAAGAGCTGTAATTTCAGTTCGTCAATGTTCGCAGAATCCTCCACTGTTTAAACGATTGCGTGTTCTTTTCACTTACCTTGGGGAGGCAGGTGGGAATTTACTTCTTTCAAAGCATTCTGCACGTCGCTCGCATTTGTAACGTCAAGTTGTAATGTGGTCAGTTTTCGAGAGCATTCACTTCTCAGCTTTGCTTGTCCTTCTGAAGTGAGACACCCAGCAAAAACCTGTAAACCTCGAGAATCGAGCTTCTTTGCGAGCTCGTAACCAAAACCACTGTCGCATCCCGTGATAAGAACGGCTTTCTTCTCCAAATCAGAAACGGAAACATCAGGGAACAAAAGGCAAGAAATGACGTACAGCGTTACAACAAGAATTATCACCAACAGAAAGCCTTGAAGGGAAAACAAAAATTGAGGTAGTTCGCTGAACATGTCGGATGAGACGGCTGGGCGAATAGAGAAACCTGTAAAGCTCCCAGGGGAAAAAGGAAGCATCTACGACGGTCACGCGATAATTTGACGCCGCTCAGTCACGCGAGTTCAAAGAAAGCAGTGAACGAAAACCAAAATGGAAAATATTGATCTTTTTTTATAAACGTTATGTCTTCTTTATGTGTCGCATTTCTAAATGAGTACAACTGATGCTACGGTCTAGCCATTTCTAGGAGGGTACAGATAGACCTTTCCTGGGTTAGAGTGCGACCCACAAGGCCGACAAGATCTCCCGCCTGTGCCCACCACTCCCTCAACAATCCTGCTGCCCTTCATTACACGATCCACACTTGTCATGTAGCCTTACTGGGTGTAAACACACCTTATGGACCTGAAATAATTCAGGCTGGTAGCGTCTTGGTTGCAGTCCTCTGTATTGCGAATACAGCCGAACCTCCCGTAAGCACCCACCCAAAATGCGAACATTTAGCAGGTGGTCGTTTTAATACGAGAATCAAACTACCAGAGTCTCTCTCGAGAAGCAGGTTCCGAGATATCTACTTTGGTGAAGAACTGAATTCATGCAGCTTCTAAGTTACGATATGTGTAGTCACTTGTTGCCACCGATCACTAAAAGTTCTTCGAATATTTTTGTTAGCGTAGTACATACTGAGAACATAGAGATGGGACAAGAGAGGTTAAAAAGAATGGGAGATAATAAAATCGTCACCTTCAAAGTGGTCGCGGTCGCTTACCAAAGGTGGTCGTTAACTACAGGGCTTTGACTGAGGAAAATTTGGTTCTTTGCCAGGATATATGGTGGCTTGTAGCCTGCGTGGCAGGCGTTTTAGGCGCGCGAGAGCGCGCCCCAATTTCCTTCCCCTTCCCTTTCGAAAGCCTGCCACGCAGGCTAGGTGGCTTGTGGCAAGTGATCGCAGATGGAAATTCGACTGTACAAACTGAGAAACAATGACACCTTTTACATTGCTTGAATTAAACATCTTACTGGGTAAAAACTACCAAATAACCTTCATTTTAAGGCTAATAACCATTAGCAAAGTCAATAGGCCATTTCCGAGTTTCGAAAACCTTTACTTTTAAACGAGGCTTCATGCAAAACCTTTCTTGTTATAATGAGTGTCATTTGCATGAGAATAAAAATTAAGTTCGTACTTAGCCTCGCTTTGAAACAGACGCTTGAGGGAACCCGAAAATGGCCTTTATTTTGTGGAATGAGGGAAAGAGTAGTAGTGCTCTTTTTTTATATATATATCGTTTTGAAATTTAAGACTTGGGAAAAAAAAAACGCTGAAACGCTATCTGACTTACGCTCCGTGCAAACGGACGCAACAACGGCGTAGCTAAACGCACAACAACATGCAACAGGCTGCACAAACGGACGCAACATGTAACATCCAACAATGTTGCGAGTTGTTGGCCAACAATGTTGCGTCCGTTTGCACTGGTCTTTACCTTATCTCAAAAACGTTACGAAGTAAACACTTCCATTTGCTGAGTCTACTGTAGGCAATGTAGGCAATGTAGGCAGTGTAGGCAGTAAAAACAGTTTGAAAGCAGTGAATATATTTAATATATTCTTAAAATACATAGAATAAGTTTATGGAAATCTAGCCTAACACGAGCGTCTAGTTAGGTCTGCTATATTGTCTCGGAAGTGACTAGGCAGGGGCGTAGCTGGGGTTTGAGAAGGGGTGTTCGTACTGATATGAATATTTCTTAAAAGCGGGAAATACTGCCAGCACCAAAGGCGCGAGCCTCTACGGGTTTCTTGGGGCAACTTGCTCCCCTAGAAAATGTTGAAATCTAGAAACCTGCAAATGCTATTTTCAGTAGCCTCCACGTGAATATTCCAAACTCGATCAAGTGGAAAATAACAGGTACTTTTAGTCTTAACAACAATATTTCCGTTCGACTTGGAACATTCATACATAGTGATACATACCGGCTAAGTACACGAAACGTTTCAGTACAAAACTCGACGTGCACTGCAAGGTCGAAGCAGAAGCTTAAGCCCCCCAGTTCCCCGGCTCCGGAGTCTTTGCACTGACAGCAGCGTCAAACGTCAATATGTATTAAACAAGTATCACCTAGGGCCCCCAAAATCGTATTCCCCGCCTTTCGTCTTTCGAGACTCCATTTGTCAAATCCGGAACGCCTGTTAAGGAAATATCTTCAATGGCGGGATTATTTTGACTACATATAATACTAGGTCACNGTGCAAACGGACGCAACAACGGCGTAGCTAAACGCACAACAACATGCAACAGGCTGCACAAACGGACGCAACATGTAACATCCAACAATGTTGCGAGTTGTTGGCCAACAATGTTGCGTCCGTTTGCACTGGTCTTTACCTTATCTCAAAAACGTTACGAAGTAAACACTTCCATTTGCTGAGTCTACTGTAGGCAATGTAGGCAATGTAGGCAGTGTAGGCAGTAAAAACAGTTTGAAAGCAGTGAATATATTTAATATATTCTTAAAATACATAGAATAAGTTTATGGAAATCTAGCCTAACACGAGCGTCTAGTTAGGTCTGCTATATTGTCTCGGAAGTGACTAGGCAGGGGCGTAGCTGGGGTTTGAGAAGGGGTGTTCGTACTGATATGAATATTTCTTAAAAGCGGGAAATACTGCCAGCACCAAAGGCGCGAGCCTCTACGGGTTTCTTGGGGCAACTTGCTCCCCTAGAAAATGTTGAAATCTAGAAACCTGCAAATGCTATTTTCAGTAGCCTCCACGTGAATATTCCAAACTCGATCAAGTGGAAAATAACAGGTACTTTTAGTCTTAACAACAATATTTCCGTTCGACTTGGAACATTCATACATAGTGATACATACCGGCTAAGTACACGAAACGTTTCAGTACAAAACTCGACGTGCACTGCAAGGTCGAAGCAGAAGCTTAAGCCCCCCAGTTCCCCGGCTCCGGAGTCTTTGCACTGACAGCAGCGTCAAACGTCAATATGTATTAAACAAGTATCACCTAGGGCCCCCAAAATCGTATTCCCCGCCTTTCGTCTTTCGAGACTCCATTTGTCAAATCCGGAACGCCTGTTAAGGAAATATCTTCAATGGCGGGATTATTTTGACTACATATAATACTAGGTCACCAGGATATACTGGGGCCACAACATAGGCTTCTTGATTATCAACTCACAACAGGACCCAGCCTATCATGGACTATCAGGACTATCCTCCACCATTGACCTGCAAAGGGGGTTCGTTCGAACCCCTTGAACCCCCCCTCCTACGCGCCTGGTAGGAATTGTCATCCACGGGTGTGGGTCTTCAAACAGGATTTCAAACACTTTGTAGCGATAAATGGCCATAGCTAGTCTGTGTTGAACGTTTGAAATTTCCTTAAAAGTCAACATGAAATATTATATATTGACTAGGCAGATTAAATTAAATAGAGAAATGACCATCGTAGTTTATATGCAGGCATTTAAACTGAAAAGAAGCCAGGCTTCACGCACTGATATTTTTCGGGCATTTAATTAACTGTTGTATGAATTGCGCGCGTAACTATCTTAACCATTTCTTCAATTTATATTTAATGGAAGATTTTTATTAGGAGTTGTCTTGGCTATATCAAGGCTATAGCTTGGCTGATCGTGATAGATTGTCCAGTTTTTAACGTATTTCTAACCATAAAAACTTCATCCCAAATATCTCGATAACGCCTTAAACCTTTCGAATATCGAGGCGGCTATTGGAGGAAAAAGTTCCCGTGAACCATTTTGGAAGAACAGTTCCCCGTGCTGAGAAATACGGCTGCAAGTGAAACAGGTAGTAGCGTCAATTCGTTGCTACAACAACTCCGATGTAATTGTAACCCTAATCATAACAGATTTTCATCTTTCTCTTATACAGCTGTGGTGGTAATTTTTGCAAATCTTTGTTCATGGCGATTGAACCTGAAAACAACTATCGAGCTCCCTTAACCAACGACGACTACCACGGCAGTAAAACGTTGCTAAAAAGGAATTTTCGTCCTTTCAAACTTCATCTCGTCTATTTGGACCCCTTCAATTTGTCAAATGTAAGCTTTTTTCGAGAGCTGAATTCTAAAGGACTTTATCCAGGTGCAACGAGATAAAGGAAAATTTTTTATTTGGGCGTCGCCCAAATTCGCTTGTTTTATTCAAAGTTGCAATAGGCACGCAATACGTGCGAACGTAAACAAGCCAAGTAAACAATCCAATCGACGCGAATGACTGCCGCGCGCTGCGTCACAACACAGCATTTATCTTCGATACATACGTCCCACAGATAACGCACGGCAAACAAATTTTCAATAGAAAACAAACTTTTTGGAAAAACAAGGTACACTGAGAGAAACAAACTGTCGCAGCACACTTGGTGTGAATGGTTTGGCTTATTGCCAAGAATTTGACAACGTTCTTGCCCTCAGTTGTCGAGCGCCAAAGAAGATGTCACGCAGAATTCCATGATCTCGTGCATGAGATAATTACGGGTAACATTGAGTGATGCATAATTTCATTGCATATTTTCGGAAAGGAGGTGATTTCTTAAAACCTTATTGGGCAAAATGACCTCGTAAACAAGTTGCATTCTTTCACGGTCGAACCGTAAAAGAGGCAGAGTCCAACATCTTCACACGCAAACCGTGTTCTATTTTCAAAACCGTTGGGTTTAATAATTAGATTAAGTCGTATTCTATCACACACGAGCCACAAAAACGGCAATTCCAAAGCTTTCACGTGCAAACTGCGTGACAGTACAACTCACAATAAGGGCCTGATCACATGAGCCTGGAAAGCAAAGCCCATGAACAGTGTGTTACCTGTTGTCCTGTTTTTCGCTTGATTGATTCCGCTGGCCGCCCGGCAAGGGTGATTACTAGGAAAATTTCCAGCGTCAATTGCGTAGGCCCTGTTTATACGAATCCGGATATTTTTTAACCCGCAACTTTCCCTTTCCGGATACAAAAATTCCACGTCCACACGTATCCAGATATTTTTAAATCCGCAAAAAAACTGACCTGCCTGAAACATAAAACTTAATTCACTTAGTTTCCTAACCCTAATCGCTTTAACTTCAGTCATTTATTTGTAAATTAACTCAGTATTCTTGATGGTTAAGTGGTAGTTTTCTTTTTTAAAGTTTTTGCCCAAAAAGTGAGGGGGCACGGGCCCACCCGCCCCCCCCCCTCCCCCCTACCCCTATGACCCTGCTTGGGTGTCTCCAAGTCATATTTTAACCTGAAAATGCACAGCAGAAACTAACAATGCATTTGAAATGTTATCATTGTCTACTAAAATATGAAACTTAGAGACAATGCCCTAGAATAATGAGAGACTCACACTTGTAAACACGAAATTTCTGACAGAAAAATAGTGAATTGGAGCCCTTATTTTACTTCCTTAGGGACCGGTCATTATTTATCACC